ATTGTTTTTCTTTTCCGCGATAGGTAGGCATACAACAATGTTTCAATAAACTATTTCTTTAGTTTTTAAGCTCTAGTTTTATGCTTTAGTCTTTAAAAGAGAGTTTATACACCCTAAATGAGAAATTTAACTGATGTTGTTTTGGGGCTCTGAGAACATCATACGAACGATAAAATCGGTCCTGGGTCTATGTCTTACCATGAAACCTACGCTAATAGCTAATTCCTTATGGGGAAATTCGTTAAAAGTCAACTTAAGCAACGTAAGAGGATACTAAAACCATGTTTGGGTAAATTTCAAACACAAAACTTGAAAAATATACTTAACACGAAAGGAAACAAATCAATAGAAAAGAGTGAATGTTCATGATACTATATTTCGAGGTCGAGAACCCTTCCGCAGATTATTCAAGTGTTCTACGCCATTCGTTGTCTTAGGACTCTCGTAAACACTTGAGAGGCCTTGGGTGTGTTTGTTGTCAAAAGCTTCCACCATTCATGGCATGAAATTGCTTTACATTTGGAGTGTTTTTCAACACAATTTGTCCACAACAAGTTCTATGAGAAAATAATTATGCTATCTACAAGCCGAACATTTTTTTAAGTTCCCTGGTTTACATTTCTTTTATATGTACATATACAAACAACTAGGCCTAAAACCATATTTTCATTGAATACCTTACATGTGTGCATTTAACAACCTGATGAAATTATCAATACCGTAATATCTAAGGAAACAGTTTTGTCGTAAATTATTATTTTTTTACGCCAATGGTTTTTCTACGTTTTACGATCTTAACCTAGTCTTAATACTATCTAACGTCCAACATGTTTGTTAGATAGCATCATTAAATCATAGCCCGATGACAAATTGCATCTCGCTTGGATTCGAACCAGCTATCTTCAGATTTGATGGCGAGCACTAAAACCACTCGGCTACCCAGACAATATTTATAGTGTAGTTTAGGATTATTACTCAAATCATAAATAACTACATGCTTATTACTCTTGCTAAAATGAAATGAAATGAAATGAAATGTCTTTATTGCTTTTAACATCATATAACATGCATTGCAATCGTCAAAATACTTAGATTATAAAATAAGTAGCATATCATACAGTGCAAACCATGCAAAAAAAACTCAAACTTAAGTTAGAAAGAACAAAACCATGCTTTCTACTCTACAATAAAACAATCCTGTTGAGGCAAACAAACCAATCTACTTACACAATAGGCATACCTTCAACTTAAAAAATCATTTCAAGGCTGTCTGGGCATTTATTAATAAGCCATTTTTTTAATTCCATTTTGAAGTTTTTACCTTCTAGTTTCTTTATGGAGTTTGGTAGCTTATTGAAAAAAATTGTTCCCTTGACATAAGGGCTATTCTCTGTCCTTTTGAAATGTCTTCTCACTCTGAAAAAATCATTACACTGTCTAGTGTTATGGTCATGCATTTGTCCTACATTAGCAATTAAAATACCAGAACTACAGCTAAATTTAACTAAACATATAACCTGGTATACATACATTGCGTACAAAGTCATAATGTTGTGTGACACAAAAATGCCTTTGCTATGAGTCCTTGGGCTAACTTTTGCTACCAAACGTACAGCTCTTTTTTGTAACAGAAAAATTCTTTTGGTATAGGTGTGAAAAGAACCTCCCCACAGGACAAGCCCATAAGCTAGATATGGATACACCACTCCAAAATAGACTGACCTTAATGTTTCACAGTCCAAATAGTTTGAAAGTCTTCTTAGCAAAGAAATACCACTCAAGACTTTAGCACCAACATGGTCAATGTGTTTATCCCATGTAAAATGTTTGTCAAAAAATATTCCAAGAAATTTACAAAAATCATTACCTTCCAGAGTCATATTATCACCTGAGATGCTAAAAGCCGGAACATTGCGACCAATTGAGAAATGTACAAGATCAGTCTTACTTAAGTTTACCTTTAAACCTATTTCCAAAAAATAAGCATTGGCAGCTTCAGAAAAATTGGTTAATAAAGCTTTAAGATTTACCATATTGTTTGCCCAGCACAGACCAGAAGTATCATCTGCATACATACATGCAAAAACATTATCCATGACAATAAAACTATTTACATAAACTATATACAGAAAAGGTCCTAAAATTGAGCCCTGCGGAACCCCTGAGGTTACCACTCGTGTTTCCGACCTATGTTCTCTCTCTGTCGTACCGTCATCAAAAGAAACTGTGGTGCATTGTTGGCGATTTTTTAAATAAGATTCCACCAGACTCACCAACCATCCTGGAACTTTATAGCCAATCAGTTTTGCCAATAAGATAGAATGGTCAACCCGATCAAAGGCCTTCGAAAGGTCTAGCAGAAGCGCTGCCACTTTACAACCTTCATCAAGTTTTTCAAGAGCAGTGTGAACAAAATCAACAGCAGCAGTGATAGTGCTCCGACCCTTCCGAAAGCCATGCTGAAAATCTGACAAAATTTTGTGATCATCAAAAAATTGTATTAGGCACCCAAGAACAAACTTCTCGATTACTTTACTAAAAGTAGACGTGAGAGAAATAGGCCTATAATTCTGAACATCTGTCTTTACCCCCTTCTTATACAATGGTTTAACAATTGTGAGTTTAAGTGGATCTGGAAAGATAGATGTTGATAACACAGTCTGAATCAAATGCACCAAAATAGGAGCCAGTTCAGATTTGCATTTCTTTAACAAATTTGGAGATATGCTGTCCCAGCCAGAAGAGCTTTTGTTGTTTAAGCTATTTATGATCAAAACAACAGATTCATTACTAATAGTTAGTGGAACTCCCCAGTGAGTATTGATAAAATCAGTACCCTGGTTTTGAAACAAGTTAAGCTCGTTTTCTACTGCATCATTCTTAACAATATCTACAAAATAGTCATTAAAATGTTGGCTTACAGCAACAGGATCCACAATTACCTCATTACCTTCTACAAGGGATATGTTTCTCTTAGGCCCAGATTCCAAACCAGGCTTACTTCTAATGCTATTTACAAATGACCATGCACTCTTAGAAACATTATCTGATGAAGTTATTTTAGATCTGATATGTTCAGATTTTGCCAATTTTACTTCTTTGCGAAAAAGATACTTAAGTCGTGTGTACCTTGCCTTGTAGATCTCACTTCCAGTTTGTTTGAAAATAGTATGCATATTAATCATACTTTCCTGCAAACCTAATGTATGTTCACTCAGAACCACTTTACTTACAGCTTTATTATGAACATTACCTTTCTTTTTAATTTTAGTTACAGGACAAGTTACATCTAAATGCCACAATAGGATGTCAAAAAACGCCTTCCATTTATCGTTAACATCCATATGAACAAAAACTGGATCCCAAGTTTCCCTGGACAGACTATGTCTAAGGCTAGCTACATTTACTTCATTAAATTTGCGCTTGTACAAAAATGTATCAGTACAATTGTAAGCTACAACAGCTTTAACATCTACATATTGTGCATAATGATCAGATATAAAACCATTTATCACTTTGGCTTCTGTAAACTTAACATCTGTGATTATATGGTCAATAGAAGATGAAGATGATAAAGTTTCTCTAGTGGGCAAATGGCCTAAAATATCCACTAACCTAAAAGATTCAGTCAGATCCAACAAATTTCTCTTTTCATTACTGTCATTCAAAGTGTCTATATTCAGATCACCCAGTATACAAACTCTCACCCTGTCACTTTTTGGAATATTATTTAACGCAACTTCAAGATTTTCCAAGAAAGTGGACAGGTTTCCATTAGGTGACCTATATACAGCAATCACAAATAGAATGAAAACACCAATACATATCTTAGCCATTACAACTTCAAAGTCTAAATCGCTGCACAAATTTTTAACCCAAGTAGGCCTGAACCTTGATACAAATTTACTGAGATGATCCTTAATGTAGATAGCTACACCACCTCCCTTATGAAGATTTCTAGAATATGAGTCAACAAGGCTATATCCCTCAAACTTAAAAAAGTGAATATCCTCCTCACGCCTTTGATGCTCCGTCAAGACAAAAATATCCGCAGCAAGCTCCAAATGCTTGCTTAAAACTCTTGAACCTTTTTTCTGTTATAGTATTAATTTACAAATTATTTGGATTGCATACGTAAAGAAAGATTGAAATGAATTAAGAACTTTCGTTTCCTACAACTAACCACTATTATTTAGTTACCTCTAAGTTCATTAGTATATGCCATTATAAGATATGAGCACAATTCAAGCAAATATTTTATTGGATTTTAAATTCTAAGATTTGCTATCATCAAACAAGACAAATCTATGTGCATTTGATTTATTTCTATGCCTATATTTAATTTAAAAGGGGATTTAAGCACGCACTATAATGTTGTGCTATCGTCTAATTCCTTTTTGGATTTTAGATTTTAGCCGTTAAATACAAAAAATAAAACTGTATGCTTCCAACACGTTTTTTATGTCGCAAATATTCGCGAAAATAATGTAATATATAGATTAGTCCCAGTAAAATGTTGTTTTAAATAAGGTCATCGGTTTAAAAATGGATGATTATTTTGCCCCCCACCCAAGGAATAGTTGCACATTTAAGGTACAACTCATAAATAATAGTAAAATTCGAGTAGCAATAATCAAAGGTAAAAATAAGGGTCATCTACAACAAATTCATAATAAGTGTATGTTCCATTAAGGAACGTAGTTTGATGGGATTTTCAAGGAGAATCCTATAACGCACTTTTTATTTAGTGACATTTAATTTCAAACGTCTTGAAACTGACATTCAAGTACCTAAAACGTAAAATTAATAACTAAACAAGATTTCAACCCATTTCATATTTTACTCTCAAACACTTTCCAAGCTTTAAAATATTACATATATCAACTATTTTCCTTTTACACGTTACTTAATAACGCATAGATTCCGGAGTATCAAAACCAGTACAATGAGTAACTATACTACTCCTAATATTTTTCTAAGTCAATCCAATGTGAACGTACCTTTAGTTAGGTCGATATCCATAAACGCCGTGACAAGATGCAGAAACAGGCTTGAGGCAAGTCTGAGTTGCTGCATACCGAACATGTCTACAAATATTTCACACTACCGGCGAGATAGATGCACATCAAACACCATTGTTTAAACACAAAAACTATGTGACAAATTTTAAATCCTAGACATTTGATAGGAGTCGTTTAACGACTAATGTTGAGATGTTTGCAACGTTCATTTGATTTAAGTTTCCACCCTATGTTTCCTAAACCTTTGATACGAACACCCTTGCACAATCTTCCACACTTGACACACTGGGTAGAGGTGTATCACTAACACACACGATGTTACCGGGACTCCTGCGAGGGGAACACTGGGCTGCGGCGCCGCTCCCACTAAGTTCCCAGCGTCTCCGCTAGCAGCGCCACTCTCCAGCAGGCCTTCTAATGTGTATTGACAATCGTTTACCTTGTACCAGGTATTAGTCCGGTGTTAAATATAAATTACCCACGCTTGTATGCGCCCATATCACCTCTCACGTCATTTGACGCTCGGTTTGTAGGCGTGCTCTAATGGCTTACGAGTCAAATTGAGCGGATGTCGAATGGTTTTGTCAGATTTATTGCTATCGTTTGCAAAGCGAATAGCTCAAGTAATGTGTTATTGATGGAATGAGGGTTGTGATAAATTGGGAATAAATGTACCTTTGGATTTTTTTGTGATTCATTGTTTTACTTAAGTTTTCAACTAAACTTCCTATTGGTTTAGGCTCTAGCTTGAAACTGTTTACAAGCTGCTACAGATTGGGTTTACCAGTGGCATTATATCAAATAGTTCAAATAATTGGTTCGAATAAAACTGACTTTTTTATCAGATTTTCTGTATCATAATAATTATTTATCAGATTTGTTTTGGGGGAAAATAACATAAGTTACAATAACTGTTGAACCGTAATTTGTACAGTAATAGGATTGAAACCATTTTTTTTATTTAAAGTCTATTAGCCTAAATACTTAATTTATATAAAAATCGTTTAGGTCATTTTCGATAAATTTCAATTTTTAGTTAATTGATGGGTGTTAATAGGGAAATTTCAAAACTGTTAAAAATCTAAAGTCTGCTTCAGACCCTGAATGTTTACGTGATTCGTGAGTTTAAAAGCAAATCATTTCATTCGTTTGGGTTCATTACGCGATACATATTTCTGAATTATTTATGGCAAACACTTTAAAATTCACGTCTAGCCATCTTTAGCTATCATACGGCAAAATTTAACTAACTATAATTACTTTTCCTACAGTCACCCGACAAAGTTGGCTTCCGTGTACTGTTTATAGTACAGTAAGCTGCTAATTGCAGCATATTTATACTTTGCCGTACGGTTTATACTTTGTCGTACGGCTTATACTTTGTCGCACATCAGGATTCCAACGAAACAACACAAAATAGCGTGGTTCTATTATGCACGTAATCCATGTACGCTTGGAAATAGGTTGGCAACACCTAAAGATAATAATACTATGAGCAGCTGATTGGCTATTATAACTACGATTTAACCTGTCATTTCGTGTTTATAGTTTCAGTATTTCTGAACTTTCTTGACTTTTCTTTTAAACGTTTTTAAAACATTCCTACGATCTTAATAAACAATAAAATACCTTTAAAGACATTTTTTTACGCGCGGAAACCACTTAAAATTACAAAAACATACGGAACTATATTCTCAAAACGCGGAGCACATTTCTTGACGAAGAAAAATAGCGGAGTTATACGGACCGGGTACTACTTTATCTAGGGCACCTATTTGTGTTGCCAGCTGAACCTAAAAACGTGTTGTATAGTGTTTGAAAGACTAATTATTTATTCTTTATAGTGATTGTAAGAAAAATATAATGTGTAAAAAGAGTGCAAAAGGCCTTTGCTGCACTCGAGATCATTCCGCACGAGCCGCAAAGTGCCACTTTTCCCGCTAGTTACACAAATAACTATTTCCAAACATTCAACAAAATACAAATACAAATACAAATACAAATATATTTATTCTGAAAATTACAACAGCCTGGCCTCACCAAGTTTATAAAACTTGTCGGTGAGGTCCAATTGATACAATAGGCTAACAAACAAATAATTTACATTTTTTTTTTCTTTTTTTGAACAAAGATTTCTTAATGTCCTATATTTCTACGGCGGTTTGTGGCAGGCACTTTAACTTAAAACAAAGTAGTTGGCAGCACACTAAAAAATCTAAAATGTAGTGACATAAATATTTCTTTATAATCTACGGAATTCTTTTGCTCATATTTGGTCCTCTTTGTATTTCATGGTTCGTAGACCATGTTTGAACTCTTTGTTTGTTTGCACAGCAGACTGGCACTGGCAGCGCCGGCCGAGCTGAGCTGACTGAAAAAAAGAAGAACAAAAAAAGACCTGAAACCTTAGTCCGTTTGATTTGACCGAATATCTTCGTGTTTAATCATTTTATGACTAGATCCTTAATCGACCTTTTTATTGCCCTATCAATCATTTCAACTCCTTTATTACTACAAAATCAGCTTAAACACTAAATAAAACCAACTAAATACAGAGCTAACCTTAACTATGATCGATAATGTTCAACATAGAAATAAAGACGCTTCAGACGGCTTATTAATTTGTCGCAACAAAGCCAGTAAGAGCACAAAGCAGAATGTTCTTAAAGTAAATTTTTAACGTCATGGCTGAGGAACACTTTAATAATTAATTCGGTTAAATTACAGCTTCGGCTGACGTTTAAATAGTTAACTGTCTCTTTTGTGTCTTTTGATGGTTAAAGGCATTAGGGTATCAATTTGTCAGAAACTACTTGACAGTAATTCTTTTTAAGGGTGATGACCTTTTGGCTTGTAATCGATGAGAAATGGACGGATGATAAATATTTAAATCTTCCGTTGAAATATACTATGAAATTAATATCAGTAGTTGATATATTAAATAAATGGGTTTTTATAATGTAGGATGTTGGACACACTTTGCTAAATAAATACCGGTATTAAATAAAATAGTCTACAACCAAACAAGCAACGTTTTCCCAAAAAATTATTCATAAAACATAAACATTTTATGGTAATTATACAAGCCATTCACCTCCTAAATTTCTATTATATTCTCCTAAATTTGTAACTACTTTACAAAATACTAGCACGATTTCTGTCCTTCGTACGGGGTTCGCGTATAAGTATAAAATGCTTATTGCAGTTATACTCGCGGATTGCGTTTGCAATGGAAGAGGACACGGTTTGAGAAAATTTAGTTCTTTTAATTTACGTTATGCTATAATATATCACATCTACCATAGCCATAATGTTCTACCACTACGCTTAAACAATAAAAAAGTAAATTATTGAATATTCGCACATTATCAAGAAATATTTATGAATTGAAAACATTTATGAATAAAGTTAAAGATTTAAATATATAAAGGTTTATGAATTTATGATAACATAAACTTAACTTTAATTAATCTTACTTTGACGGTTCTTATTATGCATCGCAGTATTTTTTTTCACTGCTGGGTTTTAATTAGTTGTTGTAATAAATGCAATAAACTTAATGGTTCTGTACCCTGTTGGCAAACCTTATAACTATTTATTGATATTGAATATCAGAAAACGAACTTGTGTAGTTTGACAAAATGCTACAATTCTTTTTAAATTTAAATACTCATAAGGTAAACATGGAAAACTCTAGAGCCACTGCGGCAGAGACAGAAAGGATTTTTTAGATAAAAATATGTCCATATATTAAGCGTGAATGTGAGCTATCATCATACCAAATTTCACCCCAGTCCGACCAGTAAATAATGCTTGATTGAACTTCAAACAAACACACCAACTGTGTGGAAAAGAAATCCCTTCGTAACGTTTTACCGAAAAATAACAAAAGAATATAGTATCTAATCGTTGTTTGTAGCAATAAAATCTTACTAATATTACAAGTATGAAAGTTTGTGTGTGTGTTTTTTTTTTTTCACTCACTCATTAACTACTGGTCGGATTAGGCTGAAAATTGGTATGGTGATAGCTCACATTCCCAATTAACATAAAGATATATTCTCATCTCAAAAATATCCTTTCGGGATCCACCCCATGGGCTCTGGAGTTTACCTTATTTACCCATGTTTACCTTATGAGTATTCATATTTAAAAGGAATCAAAGAATTGTGTCAGCTGTTTCAACTACACAAGTTGATCCTATGATATTAAAGAGCATTACAAAGTTATAAAGTTTATCAATGGGGTGCAGCACTATTATTTTTTTGCATTTATGACAACAGCTAATTTGAACCAACTAGCAACAAACAGCTGTGATATACAATGAGACATTTAATTTTTTGTTTTGTTTTTTGTTTTGCTGCAGTGGAAGAACATTTTATGGCCATGGTAGATGTGCTATATTATAGCATACCGTAAATTAAAAGAACGAAATACCCTTGAACCGTGTCCCATTGCAAACGCAAAGCCAAGTATAACTGCAATAAGCATTTTATACTTATACGAAGGACGGACACTTTGCCATTTAAAAAATATGTGCCTACAAACCTACCATTTTGTTGTTGTAGTTATTTAAATTGAGTAAAACAATTTATTAGTGACAAGAAAATTTAATAATAACTTTTAGATGGGAAATAAATTTATTAAATATAGTTTGTATTATCAAGTTAGTGATTCCAAAAGCTATAAAGGTCAACTTACCTTTGGGATGAGTTAGGAATTCTAAACTTCGGTTTGGATCCACCAGACCTGATCAAGCTTAATGGGTACCAAACAAACATTAATTGTTCTAAATATTTTTATAATTTAATGTGTAACGCAACTTTTGTTAGATCACGTTGTCTATTTCACTTTTACTAGGTAATTTATTCTAAATACTTTGATCCCATATAAGAAATTTAAAATGGATCTTGTCGGTAAAAGTTAATTAAAGTTAAAGTCGGTAAATTAATTGTCATGTACTGTATTTACAAATCTTAATACAACACAAAATTAATGTAAAAATGCATTTTGATAACCTAATATCTCTAGGATCTGCTCCTTCCCGTCACTCATTTGGTACTTATAAGGTTTTCAAACATAATACCTTATGACATTTTATGTAACATTTTCGGTTAATTTAAGTTTTTAAATGTAACCTGATAAAATCTATAGGGTAAAATATATTCAAATATATACCAAAAGTGTATTTATTTTATTTTTACTCATTCCAGAATCTGATATTTTATAATAAATTATTAATTATATAAACCTACAGATTCGACATCAATGAAGTTTAACACGTTCATCGCAGATCATTTAAATTATATCAAACTTTAATTTGAACAC